GTCTTCCAGCCTGAGCTGCTTTTACACGAGGCATTTTCACCCAAGCCGCAGAACGTCGCCTTCTGCCCAGTACGAACTTCCCGCCGCTTTTGCCGACTCGCAACTCCGCGGCGGCGCCGGCCCCATCACACCCTGCAGTATGGGACCTTCCCATTGGCTCAAGCGAGAGGGAGAGGCGGAGCGAGCGGGAACCTAAATGTACACTTTTTTAAAAAATCATTAAAATTTCAAATTGGTATATATGTTTCACATACTCAAAAAATGTAACGTACCAAAAACCACTGAGTTGTACCTCAAAAAAGCTACTTTAAAAAGAATCCAACAGACTTGAGGGTGCAGTGATAATTAGAGATCACTTAGGTCAGTGAGTTTAGATTGGAGAGTAAAGCAAATCGTGACATCCCAAGCAAGGTTCAGCTGTGAAGGCAATTTGCAGTGATGTTCATGGTTACACTGCATCACACTTCTCAAGTTCTGATAAATTTATGATGATGCCTAGGCCAACGGCAACTATTTAAAATAAGGTGAGAAGGGGTATCCAACAAGATGGCACACATACTCAAAAGGCCACATACAACTTTTTAAAGTACTCTAGATGAGTGAATCTCAAACTCCAACTTAAGACAATGCCTGCCATGGAAATGGATATAAAACAGAAACCAGCGACAGGTCTGTGGATTTTAAGTGCTAACTTCCAATCCTTGTTTATGAAACACAATTCCGGTTACACAGCAATGGCAATATCAGGGTTTCCACAGTTGGCAGCAGTAGCCAGAGATGGTTTATTTCACCTCTGCTCAGGGTCCTTACCTCCAGCCCAGTCTTGTTTCCTGTGTTTCTTCTTATTTTTACTAAATTAAGACTGTCAATATGGCTGTACTTGATTTACATTCCAAAATTAACAAGTCTGAAAAATAACTAGACAGCTTGGATTATCAGCTCCCTCTTCCATTAGCATGGAAAATGGATAAAGTCTAGCACAGCAATTATAAATGTGAATGAAGGTAAAGGACAGGTTAGATATTCTGCTGTCGGGTTAAAGAATGGATGGTGTTTGTAGTCATATAGATTAATGAGATAACAGATAACTTGAAGGCAAGTCTGGGTTTGGGTTATTTTTTTAGCCTAACTTGAGTGTTTTTACTATAAAACCAAAATATACTGTATTTACTTTAGAAGATTTGACTAACCCCCTGATAAAAGTTCAGTGTTACCACTTAATTCAGTCTGGGCATGTTTTTCCATAAAATTATCAAACTGACTAAAGCATAGTCCAAAACTGGAAGAAAAATAAATGGATTTAAAAATCACTTCAAGTCATTTTGGGAAAAGACTCAGTACTCATAACTGAAACAGACAGTAACCAAGACAGACAAACAAGAAGAGACGCTCTAAACATGGACAAGTGGTTTATAATACTGTGAACAACTCTACAAAGAGGGACTTACTGGAATGAGGCTTACGTTTCTCAATCGTGGAAAACAAAACATTACAACACGGAACTTTCCCCCAAAGGAATGCGAAGAAAAGATTTTAAGGGAAGCCTGGACGAATGACATAAGGAGAAAATTTTGTAATGGTTATGAGCACCGTATGTTTTTAATTCACCAATTAGAAAAGATGGTGGTGGAAAAGATCACACTAGATTGGGTCACAGAGATGTGTCAGCTTCATGATTAAGTATGTTGTCCTGAATGGGCCCATGTTCTTTGCACAGAGAAGAAACCCTGCTCCACAGTCCTGCACCAAACATTGTCGTGAGCATCTGTCCTGGACCATGAGACTTAAATCATCTGTCATTGCCACTAGGAAAAATGAAGCCACATTCCATGGACCCAGCAAACAGCAAGATGTTGTATGAAGTAGACAGAACTAAGACCCAGGAGGCTTCCTTCTAGTTGGAGCTGTAAACCTTCACTTCCTGGCTGGCCCATCCATCCTTACTGGTCTCAGCTCTCTTAACAGGACAGTTTCTAAGGTACCAAAAACTCTAATACAACAATACTTTTATAAAAGTTAAAAATATCAAGAAACAGATCAACCAGCACTTTAATAGATGTTCTAAATTCACAAGTCAACCTCTTAGCAGAAGAAAGCTCAGGTTTAAAACTCCACCAATAAATATTCAAATATGGATGTGAGAGTTGGACCATAAAAAAGGCTCAGTGCAGAAGAATTGATGCTTGTGAACTGTGGTGTTGGAGAAGACTCTTGAGTGTCCCTTGGATGGCAAGGATATCAAACCAGCTAGAAAAGACCCTGATGCTGGGAAAGACTGAAGGAGGGAGGAGACGGGGATGACAGAAGATGAGATGGTTGGATGGCATCACCGACTCAATGGACATGATTTTGAGTAAACTCCAGGAGTTGGTGATGGACAGGGAGGCCTGGCATGCTGCAGTCCATGAGGTCACAGAGTCGGATATGACTGAGTGACTGAACTGAACTCTCAGCACTAAGAAAAAAATGAAATGACGCTTGCTATACTCTTACTAAGGCAAAGAAACAATGTGACTATGACCATTTAAACATCTAAAAAATAAACTTTTGTTAGGAAAAAAAAAAACCAAAAACCTAGAATCAACCGGCTATAAAAACCTACTGTTTTTCAGAGAGTGGGTCAGTAACATGTCTCTACAGAGAAGAGAGAAAGTGAGAAGGAAAGCCTACTTTGTGAACAAGCTTCAACTGCTGTTATTTCCTCTGTAAGAACAATGGAAAAATAAAAACCGGGTGTAAATTTCATCTAACAACTGTGAAGGACCCAGAATATTGCTGCACTTAGGAAGAGGCCACTAAAGGGGATGTACCTTGGTGTAGCCACCACAAAAAACAGTTTAGAGACTGCTCAGAATACTAACACCAGATTTGCCATAGGATCCAGCAATATCACTTCTGGGCATGTATCTGGACAAAACTATAATTCAAAAAGATACAGGCACCCGACATTCATAGCAGCACAATTCGTAATAGCCAAGACATGGAAGCAACCTAAACGGCCACTGACAGATGAATGGGAAAAGAGGAGGTGCTACATCCATGCAATGGAATACTACGCAGCTATGAAAAGAACATAACGATGCCATCTGCAGCAACATGGATGGGCCTAGAGATGATCACATTAAGTGAAATAAGGCAGAAAGAGAAAGACAAATAAATACCACATGGTATCACTTAACTGTGGAATCTGAAATATAACACAAATGAACTTAACTATGAAACAGACTCAGAGAACAGACTTGTGGCTAACAAGGTGAGGGGAAAGGGGGGAGGAATGGATTGGGAGTTTGGGAATAGCAGATGCAAACTATTATATATAGACTGGATAAACAAGAAAGTCCTTCTGTATAGCACAGGGAACTATATTCACTATCTTGTGCTAAACCATAATGGAAAAAGAATGCATATGTATGTATAACACTTTGCTATACAGCAGAAATTAACACAACATTGTAAGTCAAGTACACCTAAATAAATCTCAAAATTAAAAAAAATTTTAATTAAAAAAATTAAAATTAAAAAAAAGAAAGATGCCACCTGGCTAGAATGAAAGGAAACACTGCCTAAATGGAAATCCATTTTAAGTTTAAAAATTTGGTTCGACTGAGAAGATTCTGACTGTATCTATGTAATGTAAAATTCACAAAACCATTTTTCTATCAAAATATTTAATTATACACTCTGCCTCAGCATGTACAGCTGAAGGAAATAATTACATTTGTTCTGTGGGAGAAGAACAGAGGAAGCAGTTATTCTGACCTGGAGGTCACTAGTCCAAATCCAAAAAATCCTGAACCCTCTGGACTTCCTGGAGTCCTCAGATGTGCCTGTACGCTTTCACGAAAAACCAACAATAACGAGCAAACTGTTCTTCTGAGCGCATGTGTCTTCCAAAGCTGAAAACTCTTTCAAGACTGTGTCACAATAGCACCAATACGCCAAGTAAACAGTCTTCCTCGGAAGCTCTTTCCCTTGGGTCTCCAAGTCAGGAGGAAGGGTCTCTCCTGCAGCCCCCCTCACCACAGGATCCCTGGGCCTCCAGCTGGCAGGGCACCGGCAGGACCCACAGCCGAAGGTTCACATAAGCCGACCCGGCCAGGCTACACTCGCCTTATGAGAAGTATCCTTAAGTCAACTGTCTGGAGAAGGATGGAGCTAGGCTCTTTACCTGGATCAGGCGATGGCACCCAGAACTAAATTCTGCTTCCTACCACGTTCTCTCGGGTTCATCCCCCTTAAATTTTTTTTTAACATATCAAAGGGGGTTGGGGCGGGGGGGAACCTTACCAAAATAAGGTTGGTAAAAAGCCTTAAAAATATGGCAAACAAAATGCTTACAAACCAAATACAGGTATCTCTACTCAATTGGAGTTGACTATCCTTTATTATATACCACAATGTAGAATGTCTTCTGGGAAAGCAGTATATGCAAATTTTAAATCAATCAGAATAAAGACTACAACCTTTTTTTGAAGTCACATACATTTTAAAAAAAAATATTTTTAGGCAGCCCTACAGCCTGTGGGATCTTAGTTCCCTGATCAGGGATGGAACTTGTGCCTGCTGCATTGGGAACATGGAGTCTTAACTACTGGACGGCCAGGGAAGCCCTTAAAAGCCACATAACAAACAAAAACCTCATGTGTTAAGGAAAGCCAAGATTTTTATCTATTCTTGACTTGGGCTTATCCTCTGAGAGTATAATGGGGGCTGAAGTAAACTGCATACCACCATGGGATGTGGTTGGGCTGAATGAAAATCCCCAGCATCAGGTACCTTAAGCATTACAGTAAGAGCTAGAGACGAGCAAAGTGTTATTTAATAGTCTGCACATCTAACCACAATTTTAGGCAAAATCTCTTTATGGCACTAATTAGAGTCCGTTCCTCTTAGATCAAGCAGTCATATCCCTTCCATTTGCTTCCCTGTCCAAAGAGGTGCCATTACTTTCCCTTCACCTCATAAGGAAACCCCCAAAAATGAACATCATTAGTACTTACATTCAAAGCATTCTTGGCAGCTTCTGCTTCTGAGCGACTGTCAAAACTGACAAAACCTACGGGCTAAGGAAAGAAAGAGAAATATGAAGAAAAAAATATCAGGGGATGTCTTTGTTTCTGGGTCAAAGGTGACATCAAACCAACAGAGCTCAGATAAAGAAATGACCGCAGGCAATGGGTAGAAATCAGAAAGCCAGCTCAGAAGAATCATGACTCAGTGGCTTAGCCAAATTTCTAACATGGATCAAAGGGATGGTGAGGGTGGTTCTTCAAGGGACAGCTGGAGATTTAGGGAATCATTTGGAAAAAAAAAAAAGTCTACAAGGGGCTGGAAGGTGAGTAGCAGTGAACAAGGGGACAGAGGAAAACTTGGGTGGAGAGGCTCTACTGTCCTAAATCGAATTCACTGTACCTCAGTATCTTCATCTTTTAAAATGGAAAGAGAACCGAATCACCTTTTGGTACACTGTAAGTGCAAGGAATATAATGACACAGTGATAAAAGCCCTGTAGTCTCACTGCATGATCAAAATTATATAATGAACATTTTAATCTCAAATCCCAAGGGACGTTTTTAAAAAGTTCTGTGTTTAATTAGGTGTGTAAACCATACTGTCCCAACTAAAGAGAGGGCTCCTAATTGCTTTAGACTCAGTATCTTAAGAATCCAGAAGGATGGTTGCAACACAGCTTATTCCTGATGAACCAGAGAATATCGTATTGAGACGAAAAGTGACCCAAAGTGAGATGTTGGTTGCTCAGGATTAAAAAAAAGCACACAGCTAAAAAATTTCAAGGCACTTGAAGCTGCTATCAGGTTCACTGATTACTACTTCCATTCTGTACCTGTGCCTTTTATGGTCCATTCTAGATTTAAGACTCTGCATGTGGTTATTAAGGGTTTGAGAGAGAGCCTGATTCTTTACCATCAAACTTCTCACGCCGACTGTGAATGAAAAGTCCGACTATGTAACTTTATTAAAAAACAAAAACAAAACAGGAAAGAATTGGCAGTAAAAGTGAATCTGGACAATAATTTCTTTTGAAGATACAGATCAATTCCAACAGAACCATGCTGGAGGCATTATATTTGCCTTCCTTGAGGATAGTCTCAGATACTCTAAGCTGGAGGCTTTGGAATTAGGAATGATTTTCCTCTGCTAATTCCTAATCGATCTCACCCTTAATTTTAGAGCAATAAAAAAAATTAAATCTTAATGGAAAATTTAAAAAAAGGATGTTGAGCCCTTGTGACATTCCTGAAGAAAGTCAATCCAAACTTATTCTAGAAGTGATCACTAATGTGCAAGTTTGAAATGCTTACCTGCTTAGATGTGAGCTTTATAAGAGAACCCTCGTAGCCCTGAAAATAAAGAACCGGATTTAGACCACAAAAAAAATATGCCAGGAAAAAAAGCAATTGTAATATCATCTTGCTCAAGTGACAGTGAGTCCTTTATGACCACTGACTAACTCATCTTACAAATGTTTGTTAACTATAAAACAAGCTTTATACACATACACACAAGATGTATATGCCTAGGTATGTATATATGTGCTGTGTGCTTAGTCGTGTCTGATTCTATACAACCCCCTGGACTGTAGCCCAACAGGCTTCTCTGTCCATGGAATTTTCCAGGCAAGAATATTGGAGTAGGTTGCCATCTCCTAGTCCCGGGGATCTTCCTGACCCAAGGATAGAGCCCAAGTCTCCTGCATCTCCTGCATGGTCAGGTGATTTACCACTGAGACACCTGGAAAGCCCATACTTGGGCCTAAAAGAGACCAAGCCCTGAAACTCACTCTCTTGTTTCTTTTCTGTGTTCTTATGAAATTGGGAAATAGTAGGAAAATGGTATCTATGTCAACAGCAGGTCGTTTTCATTTTATAGGATAAAAGGCACTCCACTCCAGTATCCTTCCGTGGAAATTCCATGGGCAGAGGTGCCTGGCGGGCTACAGTCCATGGGGTCGCAAAGAGTTGGACACAATTAAACGACTGAGCACAGCACAGAAGAAGAAAGGGGGTCAAGAAGAGTGTGTGATGAATGGTTCACACTGAAAAATACATTGGCTGTAGAACAACAACAAAACACTGATAATGGACTTAGTAGAACTTGTCAATGAAAAATTGCCTGGAAAAGTTAAACAGGCAGCGATGCTAAATTCTTGTTATTTTGCTTATTTATTGCAGCCATCTGTTTTCATGCTGGTATTAGGAATGGGAGATGCAAAAATTCCCTGTTGGGTTTTACTTCTGCTCATCCTCAAGGAAGATGGAAACACTCCCTTTCTGATCCCTCCTGGTTCCCCAGGATGAAGATAACAAAGTCTGCTTATTTCTGAAAGTAATCAATGGCAGGTGGCTTGCACTGTTAGAAGACACAGGAGAAGAAAAAAAAAACAAAACCCACCACTTGACGTGATTGACCACAGCACATATTGGTCCAGGGACAGATTTGCAGACGAGGGTCAGCCACCAGGGACTTTAATTAAAAAAGGGTTGGTAGGAATGTACCAGGGTCCTGACTTTCGCGTTGGGGTTTCTGGGCAGCATGTTTCAATTGATTCACCCTCCTATCTTCCCAGCAGAGAACTATGTTACCAATTAGCTACTGTAAACATTTTACCTCAAAGGCCTTGAGCGCTTCTGGCCCAAGAGGTCATGATTCACAGCCCTGCCTCTTCCTTGTTCAAGGTGCTCTCTGAAAAACGTGCAGGTTTAAACACCCCGAAGGCCTCAGAGGCAGAGGACAAATGGATATTTCACTCAAGTAAAAGCCCACTTATAGGGATATACTGTCCTCTCAAGACACAGAAATCAGAAGCAGCATCACATAGTAGTTCAGAGTAGGAATGGCAGAGTCAAACTGCTTGGGTTCGATCCTGGCCCTGCCATTTATTATGTGTGTGAACTTGAGCAAAATGTATTCAACTGCTCCAAGTTTCATTGTCTCTCTTTGGAGGGGGCAGGAAAAAATGAGGCTAACCCACTTTAAAGGACTGTGATGAGAATTAAGTGAGATAATTCTTAAGGGGCTCACTACTAGGTCTCTCCATATGCACACAGGAACACGGCTGTTTTGTTCATTAAGAGGAATGGTTAGCTTAAAAAGCCCTCATCCTACAAAACTGAAAAACTGCAATCCTGCAGAAGAAATGGGAAATTCTGCCAAGTTGGCACTCTTCCCACAGCACCTTCTCTTTCTTCCCCACTTTCTCTAGCCAACCTCTCGGCTAACCTTTCATGTTTCCCTCTGTAACGTCATCATTACTGTTGCATTAAAAGGAGAGCTGTCTTATATACACCACCGTATGTAAAACAGGTAACTAGCGCGAAGGGAGCTCTGTGATGACCCAGAGGGGTGTGATGGGAAGATGAAGTTCAAGAGGGAGGGGATATATGCATATATAATGCTGATTCTTGATGCTATACAGTAGAAACTAACAACGCTGTGAAGCAATTATACTCCAATTAAAAAAAAAAAAAAAAACAGCAGAAAAAAGGAGAGCTGTCAGAATGGAGTTACATCCATTATTACCTGGTGCCTTTGGGGCACATGAGCTAGACCATTTTATCTTTGTTGGTTTTCACTGGCTGCCCCCTCGACTGTCTTTCTTCCTCTCCTACCCAGCTGTTTTCAGCTGTCACATTTACTCTTTCGCCCTAAGAAGCTAGAACCTGTCTTGCCTCTGTGGCTTGGACCCTGCTTCCATCAGAATGGATCTTTAATTGGCAATCAAGACGGTCCCATCACTCAGTCCTAAGCGCGGCCCTGGCCAGACACTGCTGCGGACATATCCTCAGCTGACGTGACCAGCTCAGACACAGGCCCTGAATCAGCCCTGACCTGCAGGATTGCTCCTTCACAGCCAAGGCCTCCAGCCCACACTGCGCCCAACTCCAGCTGTCTCTGACCCTCCAAAGGCTAACTTTCAAGGTTTCTCTGTGGAGCACGGTTATTTCAGCCTTGCTTCAATTTCCTGTTAAATTTTCAATCCCAACGTTAACGATCTCCAAAGTAAATTTATCTTGATCATCACAATGGACAGAGAACTTGTATTAAATATTTCACCAGGTAGCACAGTGGTAAAGAATCCCCTGGGCAACACAGGAGACTTAAGGGATGCAGGTTCGATCCCTGGGTTTGGAAGACCCCCTGAAGAAGGAAAGGGCAACCCACTCTGGTATTCTTGCCGGAAAGTTCCACAGACAGAGGAGCCTGGGGAGTTACAGTCCATGGGGTTGCAAAGAGTCAGACACAACTGAGATTGAGCACGCAGAAGGCACCAGGGAAGACGTCCGTCAACTCTTACCAAGCAGTTCTTTAAAATCCTGTTTCACTGTTTCAGCAACGTTGGACATTTTGCCAACGAAAAAACAATGGTGTTAGGTTCTTTGTCAAATTCATAAAAGCTTATTTCACCTATTATGTCTCCTAGGAATTGTATGAACAGCAGTATTTCAGCTAATAAAGAACCTCCTAGGGGTAGGACTTGACTTATACTCCTGCATTTGAGATATAAATACATGGTTAGTCACTGATCATATCTGGGGTGATCTGTACTCAAATTACCCCCAATTGGCAGAGGATACACAGGGAGGAAACTGAGGCTGTTCTAAATGAGGACAGATTAGCTTCTCAAGATTAGCGGCTAGGAGGACAAAGGCCATTTCAGTATTTCCAAAGTGAGAATGTGTATTAGAACTGACTTTACTCACTAACCACTTTAAAAAACAGGCGTTTCTCAAACATTTCATTTCTTTCTCCAGACAGACCCACTTTCTGATGCCTTTTATGATTTCTAAAAGATAGAAAAGGTACCTTAAATGGTCTGAAAAGCAGATATAGCTCCCGAGGTTTGATGTCCAGAGGGAGACCACTGACAAAGAGAGTCCGGACCTGCAAAATAAACATGAGAAGCGATCAAGGGGGACAGTCATAGAACAGCTCACTTGAAACCAAAAAAACCATGTTTCTTCAGATATTCCACAACTCCTACCTAATTCATGATCTTTTTATGACACAGTGACTAATGTTAAGATGCTCTTAAGCCAACTCTTAAATAGTTCTGTGTGAATTATCAGAGTGGATCACTTCTAGCCAATTTAAATTTACAAACTGACCTCTCCTTTCCTCGCCATTGCCTGGTTCTAAGAATGTGAGGGGAAGAGAGGGTCCATAATTAAAATGTTAGCTTAAGGGGGGGGGAAAAAAGTGTCATGGGGATAGTAAATCTACCACCCCTCTGCTGTGATCAAAGGAACACAAATGTGGTTCAAAAACACAATTGAAAAAGAATTTTTTAATCGTAAATTATTTTTAATTGCAGGATAATTGCTTTACAATATTGTGTTGGTTTCTGCCAAACATCAACATGAATCAGCCATAGTTACATGTACGTCCCCTTGCTCTTGAACCTCTGGGGGAAAAAAATTTTTTTTTAATTTTTTTTTTTTTTTTAAATTTCTTGTCTGCGCCTTGTGGCATGTGGGATCTTAAGCTCCCCGACCAGGGAATCAAACCCTGCATTGGAAGTGTGAAATTTTAACCTCTGGATTGCCAGGGAAGTCCCAAAACAATTTTTGTTTTCTTCTACTTGTCATTGCTTTCTTCATCAGCATTAATAGTTATAGCAAGTTTGGTAAGTGAAGAAGTTTATTAAACAACTGAAATTCATCTACGTATCAATAGTAGCCAAATGAATAGCCCTTTGTCTGTTCAGTTCCGGAAAAGCAGGACAGATGTGGCCAACCTATACATACCCATAAGGCCCAGGGTACAAAAAATGTACTTATTGTGTGCTGAACACAGAACATAGGGACATTTCCAACTGGGAGGATCAGAGTATGTTTACTCAGAGTATGCTGGCATCTGCATGGAATGTCCTTCAAGGACAGGTGTGAATTTGCCACACAGATATATAAAGGGCGAGGTGGGGGAAGGCACAGGCAGAAAAGCAGCATTAACCAGTTAATGAAGCAGGGGATAGCAGAGTGCGTTCCGGGAGAAGGGCCAGCCGAAACTGAACGGGAAATGGAGGCTCAAACCACAAAGACAGCAAGTCATCAGCACAGGAATACGGTCTTAATTCAATCAGCAAGCGGTCCAAACATGGACCACAGCCTTGTCCAACTCAATGAAACTAAGCCATGCCGTGTAGGGCCACCCAAGACGGACAGGTCTTGGTGGAGAGCTCTGACAAAATGTGGTCCACTGGAGAAGGGAATGGCAAGCCACTTCAGTACTCTTGCCTTGACAGTCCCATGAATCGGCAAGTAGTCACCACTGAATTATCATCACCACAATTTGTTTCTATTTAGTATGTTTTTTAAAACCTTATTTGAAACTTGTTAAGAAATACATATACATATTTTTTATCTTTAAAAAAGTTTTGAAGTAATTTTATTGGGGTATACTTGATTTACAATGTTGGGCTAGTTTCTGCTCTACATCAAAGTGAATCAGTTATATACATACATGTATCCACTGCTTTTTAGATCCTTTTCTCATATAGGCCATTATACAGTGTTCAGTAGAGTTTCCTGTGCTATTATTGAGTCTTATTAGTTACCTACTTCATTTTTCATTTTATCACTTCTCATAGGAGTGTGTATATATCAATCCCAATCTCCCTATTTATCCTTCCCACCCCCTTTCCCTCTTGGTAACCATACGTTTGTTTTCTATATTTGTGACTCTGTTTTATAAATAAGTTCATGTGAGCCATCTTTTAGATTCTATGTAAGTGATATACGATATCTGTCTTTCTCTGACTTCACTCAGTATGACAAAGGAACACGTATACAATGGAATATTACTCAGCCACACACACACAAAAAGAAATAATGTCTGTTTTGTGTGCCTTTACTCAGTTCCCTGCTCCCCGAACTTGGAGATATAGCTGACATGCAACATTAGGATGTACCTCACCGCCATCAAATCACAGAACTACCATTTCTTTTTCTGTGGTGGGAACACTTAAGATCTACTCTCAGTAACTCTCAAGTACACCTATAATACAGTACCGCGCATTACGTTCTCCAGAACTTATTCAATTTCTAACTGAAGTTTGTAACATTAGACCAACATCTCCCCATTTTCCTCACCCACCAGCTCCAGGTACTAACCATTCCATTCTGTTTTTATGAGTTCAATTTCACTTTCACATTTTCTATTCTTCTCTACTCAAGCTGATATGACATGATTGAGTTCCTCATTAGAAATCAAGTTACTTACTAAAAAAAAAAACCAGTGATTAAATGTAAACCATGTACAACTATGGAAGATTTTTCCTCAGTGAGAAATAGGAGAATATCTTCTAGAATCCTAACACTTTCCACTGACTCTGGCTTGAAGGAGCACAAAGCAGCAAGCAGGACCCTTTTGCTAACCCAGCAAAGTATATGGGAAAATGTCATGCCATTTACATGAAGGTGTGTAATAAACATGATGATGAAGTAAACAGTCGTGGAATCGAGAATGCCCATCATCTGTTTATATTTTAAACAGCTTTACTGAAATATAATTGACATATAACTAAACATCTTGTTTACAAGTTTTGATATATGTTTAACCTATGAAACTAATATTGTTTTCATAACAATCAAGATAATGAACAAACTCATCACACCCCTGTGATGTTTCCTTCTCTCATGGCTCTGTAATCTTTCATCTTTATCCTTAGGCCATCACTCATCTGTCACTATAGACGAGTATGCATGTTCTAAAGTTTTATACAAATGGAACCGTAAAGTTTGTGTCCATTTTTGTCCAACTTCTTTCACTTTAAAATAATTAGAGATTCATCCTCGCTGCTGCACGTGTCAAAAGGCTATTTTTGTTTCTGAGCAGTATTCTGTGGTACGAATACATCACAGTTCATTTATCCATTCACTTGTTTTTAAGACATACAAGTTATCTCTAGTTTCTGGTTTTTACAAATAAAACGACTATGAAAATTCAGGTATCAGTGGGTACAAGTCTTTGTAGGGACCTATGCTTTCTTTTTGGATAATTAGGTAGAAATGGAATAGGTGGATGATATGGTAGGAATATACTTAAAACATTAAAAAAAAATTTTTTTTTTTTTAAAGGGCTTCCCTGATAGCTCAGTTGGTAAAGCATCCACCTGCAATGCAGGAGACCCTGGTTCAATTCCTAGGTCAAGAAGACCTGCTGGAGAAGGGACAGGATACCCACCTCCAGCATTCTTGGGCTTCCCTTGTGGCTCAGCTGGTAAAGAATCCGCCTGCAATGCAGGAGACTTGGGTCCTATCCCTGGGTTGGGAAGATCCCCTGGAGAAGGGAAAGGCTACCCACTCCAGTATTCTGGCCTGGAGAACATGGACTGTATAGTCCATGGAGTTGCAAACAGTTGGACACTGAGTGACTTTCAAACTTTTAAGAAACTACCCTCTTCAATTCCTTGTTCTGTGGCCTAGAACATGATAAATATTGAATGTAGAACAGATGTATATTCTGTTGCTGTTGTGTATAGTGTTTTATAAATTTCAATTAAGGTCAAGTTTGTTATTCAATGTACCTTTTGTCTCTCCCTTCTCTCTCAACTTTGCCAGTGATAAACACTCTTTCCAAAGAAATGGGTTTTTTGGTTTTCTTCTTGGCTATGCAGCATGTGGGATCTTATTTTCCTGACTGGGGATTGAACCTGTGCCTTCTGCAGTGGAAGCACAGAGTCTTAGCCACTGGATTGCCAGGGGAGTACTCTAAAGAACTTACTTTATCAAAGCTGCTAAGACTGACTGACTGACAACTGCCGAAGACATAGTCAAAGGAATCCTGCCACCCCGTGTGCCCTCCCTGCGACCCACACCCCCTTCCCACATTCCAGAAAGTGAACACCATCTGTTCTACTTGGCCGCCCTGGCCAGGACAATCTGGACAGAGGGAATTCCAGCCTCCACTCATTCATATTTTGTTGAGTGCCCATTGTGACTAGCACTATGCCAGGTGCTGACCAAATTAGAGATTTCCATGGAAATAATAATAAGCAGATGCTGTGTTTTAAACACTAGAGCACCGTTTGTCCAGCTGGGAAGCTTAGCCATGTGACAGGTATCAATTAGGACCTGGGAGCTAACTCAGGAAATGAACTACCATTTATAGCACTATTCTAAAGAAAGAGGCTTTAGAAAGTTGTAAGTCAAACAATTTATCCAAAAAAAAAAGAAAAAAATCCCCCACTGGGGAAATCTGGGAGTTGTCAACAAAATACTACTACTTGATATAAATTAAGGTTTATCTACACCCACTGAATATATTATTATGCAACCAATAAAAATTATGTTCAAGGAAAAAGTACATTCAGTTTTATTCTATAAAGCAAAAAGCCAACATATGTATGTATATGGATGGGGGTAAAAATACCTTAGAGGATATATATGCTTAATAAGCAATTTTTTTGGGGGGTTGCACTGTGTGGCAAGTGGGATCTTAGTTCTGGGACCAGGGGTCAAACTCGTGCCCTCTGCAATAGAAGCACGAAATCTTAACCTCTAGACCACTGCAGAAGTCCTAATAAATGATTTTACTGTTTTTAATGAGCACATTTGTATTTTCTATCTTTCTATAATAAGCAAGTTTTATAGTTTATTATTAGGTTGACAATAGCCTAGATTGTTTTTTTATTACTTTGCTCTATTTAGAAAACCATACATAATGTCAATATTTGGATCAATAAAAATTGTGAAGCTCATAGCAAAAATTTTGTTATGTAAGTATTTCAGATTTAGAAGATTAACTTAATATTTCAACAGCAAAGGGTTATACATTAAAACGAACAAAAAGTGACCTCCTATTAGGCTGAAGTCTGCCACTCACTCAAGCCACTTGCTTTTCATTGTTGTTCATCAAATTAGAGGCAACTAAGATGTCTGACA